AGCTACATTTGTATCGACTTCACCTCGATATACTCGTGATATCACACGGGCTGATGGTATTCATTTACTCGAAGATAAAAAGGAAGGGAATCGATGTTCAATTATATGATTGCGTGTTTATTGTCGTTAAATGCACGGATGTTTTTGAAGAGTTGGTCACGTATGGTTGTCGGTTTGGTGTAGAGCGCGGGGCCATATGTTTACGTTATAAATACAAATACGAATGTGTAGGTGCGCCTGCGCATGATATATACCAGGATCCGCCCACTGACTGAATTTTTCTCCATTCGATGTTACGTTAAAGTTTATTTATCCGAAAAGCAATCTGGTCTGGTTAAAACTGTTTGTTAAAGTATGGGTTAGTGAGTTATGATTTTAACGATACCCTCAATGTGTCATCATTATCTTCGGTTCGCTTTTTAGATTTTAAGAAATTTTGATTTGTTTGACCCAGTGAAAGAATCTATGTTAAAGAAAATAAATTTGTGGTAGAAATAATAAATATATTTTTTTAAATTTTAGTAATATTAATCGTAAGAGATAAGAAGCATTATGACATTATTCGAATTTAATTTTCATTATTTAGTTCGATAAAAGCTAACAATTACTTGATAGTGGTTCCGATAATAACTGATACACGATAATGTGACCGGACGTGTTGCAAACAGAGTAGATACCTGTCAATTTCTTCTTTAATTAGCTGGCCTTCGCATTTGAATATTGAATTCTACCAATTGGGGACTGTTAACTGCAGATTCGAGAACGTTGTCAGTCATAACTTTTAGAACTTTTAGAGTATGTCCAGAGCACAACAGACTTTTCGTGGTCTCCGAGGCGGACTAGGCTGTTGAAGTGAGTCTGTGACTCGCTCATTCAGGGGTCGGCTGCAGATATTCGGTCGGTGCCGGGTCCGCGAAAGGACCTAATGTGGCTTATTAAGCGCAAGCTGTCAGCTTACTAACTTACTATGATTGTTATCAGTTATGCAAAAAAGTGGTAAAAGCTACTAGTTATTTCTTTTTATCCTTTTCAACAACATGTAGAAACGAAAATATCGCCGACAAGTTGGCTGGACTGTCGTTATTAATACAGTACAGTTGCGATATTTCAGCAGGGAAATGGAATTAAATTTTTTTCTTGTACAAATTCTACAAACGTAGCTTTTCTTGTTACTATTGTCATATTTGACACAACATACAACAACAGGAAAAAGTACTTATACAATAATAAATAGATTAAATCAATAATATTAAATAAGAATATTAGAGACAACCTTTTTATGAAATTGTTTTGATTTTAAGTGAAATTACCAAATCATTCATATAATGCTTAGGCTTAGGCTTATTTTTTTTTTTTTTTTTTTATATAGAACGGGGGGCAAACGGGCAGGAGGCTCACCTGATGTTAAGTGACACCGCCGCCCATGGACACTCTCAATGCCAGAGGGCTCGCGAGTGCGTTGCCGGCCTTTTAAGAATTGGTACGCTCTTTTCTTGAAGGACCCTAAGTCGAATTGGTTCAGAAATACTTCAGTGGGCAGCTGATTCCACATAGTGGTGGTGCGCGGCAAAAAATGCCTTGAAAAACGCTCAGTTGTGGAACGGCGGACGTCGAGGTGATACGGGTGGAATTTCGTATTCTGTCTCGACGTCCGATGATGAAACTCAGCTGCAGGTATTAATCCGAACAACTCCTCTGAACACTCTCCATGGTAAATGCGGTAGAAGATGCAGAGTGACCCCACATCTCTACGCATCGCCAAAGGATCAAGCCGCTCGGAGAGGGATTGGTCGTCGACGATTCGAACCGCTCTGCGTTGTATACGGTCAAGTGGAAGGAGCTGGTACTGGGGAGCCCCCGCCCAGAGGTGAGAGCAGTACTCCATGTGGGGCCGAATTTGCGCTTTATATAGTTGCATGCGGTGGCCCGGCGTGAAGTACCGCCTCGCCTTGCTGAGCACACCAAGCTTTTTGGAGGCTAATTTAGCCTTTCCCTCCAAGTGACCGCGAAACTGAACGTCGTTCGATATGTCAACGCCAAGTATTCCAATGCTGGCTGTGGCTTTAAGAAGAGTGTTTTCGAAAAGAGGAGTAGCGACAAAGGGTGATTTTTTTGCGGAAAACGCGCAAACTTGTGTCTTCTTGGGGTTAAATTGGACTAGGTTTTGTCTGCCCCAGTCTGAGACTCCACGTAGTAGAGTTTCGACTTCAGACACAAGTTTGTTCCGGTACTCATCAACAACTGCCCGAGAAATACCTGCCCGGCCAGTGTAAAAAGTATCCCCAGTGCTGTCATCCGCATAGCAATGAATGTTGCTAAGTTGCAACATATCATTGATATGCAAAAGAAATAGGGTCGGGGATAGAACACAGCCTTGTGGGACCCCAGCGTTCACAGGTTTAAGGTCGGAACATGCTCCGTCGATGACGACCTTGATGCTCCGATCGGCCAGAAAGCTGGAGATCCAATCGCATAATTTCTCGGGAAGCCCATAGGCTGGAAGCTTCGAGAGCAGTGCTCTGTGCTACACCCGATCGAAGGCTTTCGCTATGTCCAAACTTACCGCCAGCGCCTCCCCCTTGGACTCAATTGCCTCTGCCCACCTATGGGTAAGGTATACAAGGAGGTCACCAGCTGAGCGACCACGACGAAAGCCGTACTGAGAATCGCTAATCAACTGGTGGCCCTCTAGATACCACAAGAGCTGGCAATTAATAATGGTTTCCATTATTTTGGAGAACAAGGAGGTTATAGCTATTGGGCGATAGTTGGACGGATCAGAGCGATCGCCTTTTTTAGGGATCGGATGTATCTAAGCGGTCTTCCAGCACTTCGGGACAGTGCCGAGCGAGTACAGGTACCGGAAAAGGCGCGTTAAGACCGGAGCCAACTCAGGAGCACAAGCACGCAGCACAATTGGGGGGATACCATCCGGCCCGCTCGACTTATGAATGTCCAAGGAAGATAGTGCTTTGCGGACTGCACGTTGCCGGAAAGTGATTTCCGGCATCGAAGAATCACACCGCGAAATGGACGGTGGTGATCTTCCTTGGTCATCCAAAGTCGAGTTGGACGCGAAGAGACAGCCCAAAAGGTCGGCCTTCTCCTTCGCAGTGTGGGCCTGAGAGTCATCCTCCCTGTGCAGTGGCGGAATGGCGGGCTGACAAAAATTCCCTTGGACAGCTTTGGCGAGAGACCAGAAGGCTCGAGTCCCTGAAGGGAGCTGGGCCAATCTCTCGCCAAATCTGGCAATGTGCTCTGACTTTGCCTTAGTGATTTCCCGTTTGAAGAACCTGGAGGCTGAGTTATATGCTGTTTTAAGTTCGCTGGTATTGGCATCACGAGATTTCGCCGCTTCCGCCCATGCCTTAAAGCATTCTCGCTTTCGACGCGAGGCCGCCTTGCAAGAACGTTTAAACCAGGGCTGAGACTTGCCACCGATCGGCACCGCAGAAATGGAATAAAGAGTTCCATGCAAGTGGTTTTGCACACTTCGGCGACAGAGGCGGCGACGGAATCTGGAGCTTCCGGCGAAAAGCACATAGGCCCCCAAGGGTAGGACGCAAAGAAAGACCGCATCCCGTCCCAATCTGCTGACTTATAGTGCCAAATACGGCGACAACCCATAAAGCGGGGCCGTGAAGGGCGCGTAGATGGCACAGTACTCCGGACCACACAATGATCCGATGAACCCAATGGCGGGTCAACAGAGACTTGATAGTTCTCCGGATGTGAAGTCAGCAGAAGGTCCAACAAAGAGGGTTTATGACCATCCACATCTGGTATTCGCGTAATCGCAGGGACCATTTGTGTCAGGTCGTAGGCTAAAGCAAAGTCGTGAAAGGATCTTCCCGCGTGATCGGTGGTTTCAGAGCCGAGCCAATCGGCATGGTGGGCGTTAAAATCGCCAAGTATCACGATTTCAGCGGTAGGAACCCTTTCGAGCAGGGAATCTATAGCCATTTGGATGTGCTCAATGAGTCGGTCAGTTTCGGTATTTCCGCTATGGGACCTATACAGGCATGCGTAGAATCGCGGATGGTCATCGCAGTCAACGCGCAGCCAGAGGTTAGATAGGTCCCTTCCTTCAAGCGTCCCGAGGCGACGAGAACAGATATCCTCTCTGACGTACACGCAAACTCCCGCCCGCGGCACAAATGAATGTTCCAATTTGTACCCCGGGTAGGAGAGGTAGGAAGTATCAGCCGGGGAGGAAATCTGAGTCTCGGTAAGAAAGAGCAAGGCCGGCTTCGCAGTCTCTAAATGGTAGTGGACTGCGTTGATATTGGAATTGAGCCCCTAACATTTGTGAAGTCCACGGCGAGCGTGGACGGGGGTGCCTTTGTTGAATTGCTCCGTTTGCCCCGAGAACGATAACTGTTTTTGTTGAGCGCAGAATTGCCCCCCCCAGAATACGAAGGGCAGCCTGTGCGTCCACCACCGGGTGCTGAGTGTCCCGGTGTTGGACGCTCAGAGGGGGATTCTCCACCGCGAGCGCGTGTGGTACCCCCCTGGGGTAGATTCTGTTTGTTCTGCACCTTCATATTTCATATGGGGGGGGATGGGCTCCGGGAGTCTTCCTCACCGTACGAAACGCGAGTACAATAAGGCGAACCTATTGCCTCACTTCACGCCGGTTTTCTAAGAGACAGTGGTACTGCCCCGGTCGTGCCTGCCCATTTGGCTGAAGCCCCGACGCCGCTAAAATATTCATCTAATAATTTAGCGGCCGTCCCGACGCCGCTAATTATTCATCTATATTTGCTTAGGAAGAGAGTGAGAGAGAGAGAGACATGTTTAAACGATAATGTCAAAATTCTACTCTCACAAGTCTATAGGAAATCCGTAATTGACTTCCTATTTTCCATCTTTATTGCTCTTTTAAGTTTTTAGCATAGAGATAATTTAAACCAGTTTCGTTGTTATTGAACACGAATAATCAATTAGTTAACTGATAGACGTGACGTTATTGCAGGGTTCTTGATGCGGTGACAAGAAAGATGGACGCGGCGGACAAGCGGATGTTGGATCGCGAGGCGCTCCGCAACATGATCCAGCAATGGAACGCCAACCGCCTCGACCTCTTCGAACTCAGCGAGCCCAACGAGGTACTTACATTGTTCATTCATTATTATACATCTCGATCATTCTAGAAGCCCATCTTTTGAACAACCAACCCGTTGTTTGTAATAGTGCTGAATTTTGCCGAGTTACGAAATACCATTAAACGAAATAACAAACTAAATATTCACTGATTATTAATATTTGGATAACAGAATATTTCCAGACCGTGAGTCACACAATGCGTTCTGCCTCTATCTGAGAATGAATCGCGATAAGCCAAATATTTTCTCTATTCAGATTTCTTATGTCGGACTGTAAGGATAAATTGTAAAAGCTACATCAGCTATCCACGGATAATAATTATTAAATATTATTGTCATACAATTGGATGACACCAATCCGATATGTAGGAGGAGTGAGGTGTGCTTAAAAAGTCTTACATCTTCTATGGATTCAACTGGTCCCATAGTTACTTAAATGAGCAAACTGTTTCGTTTGGCACAAATTAAATATTTTAGAAATTGTTTATCTCAAAATATTCATTCATGTTTTATATTTGCTTTTTAGAACTTGGAGTTCCATGGCGTTATGCGATTCTACTTTCAAGATTCAGGCCAGAAGATTGCCACAAAGTGCATCCGCGTCGCATCCGATGCTACAGTCATCGATGTCATTGGTAAATTTCATTTGATATTTTTTTTAATAGTACAGGGGGCAAACGGGCAGGAGGTTCACCTGATTTTAAGTGATACCGCCGCCCATGGAAACTCTCAATGCCAGACGGCTCCCGAGTGCGTTGCCGGCCTTTTGATCAATTGCCTTTGCCCATCTATGTGTATACCAGAAAATCAGGACGGCGAAAGCCGTACTGAAAATAGCTAATCAGCTGGTGGCCCTCTAGATAACTCAGGAGCTGGCCATTAATAATGGATTCCATTATTTTGGAGAACAGTTAAGGCTTTTGGGCGATAGTTTGACGGATCAGAGCGATCGCCTTTTTTAGGGATCGGATGTATCGAAGCTGATAATAGAATATAATATGTTGTATGTGCAAACGAGCAGGTTGTGATAGCGATACGCTAAATTTCAGGGACGCTGATAGAGAAGTTCCGTCCGGACATGCGCATGCTGTCTCTGGGCTCTTACACGCTGTGGGAAACGCACGCGCCGGGCGACGAGCGGCAGTTGGAGCCCCACGAGAAGCCTCTGCTGGTGCAGCTCAACTGGCACGCCGACGACCGCGAGGGTCGCTTCCTGCTCAAGTGCTGCTCCCAGCCGGACGTGAGTACCCCGATCGGTCTGGAGGCGAGCGTCGCACATGTCGTTCCCTAAGACAGAGTAAAAAAAAACTTTTTTTGTTTCAGATACCACTGTCCTCTATAAACGAGAAGGGAGACCAAAACTTCAAGCGGAAACTGTCGAAACGGGAGAAGAAGGAGTTAAAGAAAAAAGAGAAACTGTCCAGGTTGAAGTCGGACACGAACGACGAAAATCGCCCGGTCGCCGAGAAGTTGTACTCAGGTACCCTCTTTCGTGTCCATCGGTCTATCCGACGTGTCGCGTGAGAGCTCCCGATAACGTGTGAGATATTCGACAGAACTGCCCGAGACGTCGTTCACTCGCAGCATCAGCAACCCCGAGGCGGTCATGAGGCGTCGGAGGCAGCAGAAGCTCGAGAGGAAGCTGCAGCAGTTCCGCTCCAAGGACGGCGGACCCGACACCGGTAGCAGCGCGAACCACGCTCTCCTACTGCGTCTGAAACTTTCGAGCGGATATTAACGAGTTCCTCCGGCAGGTGGCACGCTGAAGATCTACGGGTCGTCCCTGTGCCCGGACGTGCCGTACAAGACGCTGCTGCTGTCGGTCGGGGACTCCGCGGCCGCCGTGCTCCGCGAGATGCTCGACAAGTACGGCCTGTCGCGGCACGAGCCCGCGCACTACTGCCTCGTGCAGGTACTCTCGCCTCTCCCCACTCTCCACTCTCCACTCGACCCACGCCCGAGTGGGTGATTAGTTAGTATGTCTCGCCAGGTGAACAAACCTAAAGCTCGATTGCAAGTAACTTTTTGTCAAGTCGGTGAACGACCTCGGTTCGGCTGAGGCTCTCTCACTGATAAAACGAATTCTAATTGAATGGCGACTGCTTCTCTACTTAAACTTCAAATACATACATTGCTGCTTTAATTGCGTCAATTTCTCCGACTACCGAAGCTTAAATAATGTTTTTTTTATTAAATCGTTGTCTTCTCCCGTGATTTCGTGCGCTAAATCATTTTGTCACATTAGGATACATTTTGCAATCGATGACAGGTGGACACGACTGACAATTCGGAGTACATCCTGGAGGACGACGAGTGTCCTCTGGCCATCGTCATGACGCATCCTCATCGCAGTGAGTACCCACTATTATATTTATTCGCGAGTACGGGAACGACTAGACAATAGACATTAAAGTCTTTACAATGTTGGTAAACATGATAAAAAAAAATTAAATAATATAAAAAAATGGTGTATTTTTTTGTATTAATTCATCTCAGCTATTAGTGGAAAAAGTTGATTCTTGTCTTTGCCTAAACCGATCGAAGGCCCCATCAAAGTTAGATGAATATTTCATAAATATAAATTTACGTTAATTTCAGTGAAATGTGGGATCATAGTTTTAGTGCAACATAACTTTTATTCCCAATCTCCTTCAATTGAAAAGAACACAATTACCGTAGCGAAATACGTGTCCTAGTTATCGCTCAAAATTAGTGAATAACTATTTATAAAGTATTAGCGATGAAAGGGAATGTTTACGAACCTGTGTAACATTGAAAAGTCTTCGCGTTTTCTAATTTTCTTCAGTTTCGACACAAATATTTATTTATTCACAAAAATAATGACGCTATCCTTACAGTACTATAATGTCGAAAAAATAAGATACATACATATTGACAACATTCGGTAGGGTCAACGTTTGATAACGGGGATCCGTGCAACAGACTGGTTCTGGCCCTTGGTATCGCAAACAACCTTGGCCTTCGCCGTAGCACATATCCCTTAGGTACAAAAAAAACCGAGTTCTTGAAGTACAATACTATACTATACTAAGTAGATAGTAGGCCAACTGCAAGCCCCGTCTTGTTTCTAACTTATTGTGCCCCACCATTGCCGAGACAAATCTTGTTGGGTACATACCAGGGATAGACGCCATACATTCTGTAATAAAGGAATCGTGTAAATGCGCTCCAACATAAGGCAGTATTTAGCTTCATGCCGCATACGGAGCCCAAACAGACCAGTTACACTGTAACATACTCCAATACGTTGTAGAAGCTTGATATAGCCTTATTGTTAGTAAACGTTGTTGCCCTTAGAACGCACGTTATACGTTTTTCATCCCGAAAACTCAGTTGTGAATCGACTCCCTGGTTTTTTATTGGCGTTTCTTGTTTTAGTATCACTCCTAACACAATGTACTTATAGATAATGTAATAGTAAGTTGATTTCTTTCATTCACGAGCCACTTCGAAAGCTGAAATTAATTTCTTTGAACAATAAATAGAAGCGAAAATGTTAATGTTTAATGTTACGTTGATGCAAATTGGAGAATCCTTTTTTGCTCAACTTTAAATGTATCTAAGTTTTGTGGTTGAGATATTCAAGAAGTATGTAGAATACGGGGTGCGATTTAACGGAAGTATTAGGAAAGTGTCGATGACAGTTGGTCGAAACAGGAAAAGTGGAAAAATTGGAGGAGGCTTTTACCAAAAACAATTAAAACTATACTAACCTTAATAGCATAGCATCTGTGCGAAAAGAGAACCATCGAGAGATTAATCAGGCTTTGCGTTCGTCTCTTCTTGAAAACATTCCAAGATCGTCAATAAATTGAGTATTGGACAAAAGTTTGTGCATATCGGCCGCCTCTTCAGTTAATGAGCGCTAAAGCTACCTTGCGCATTTCGTATTTCATTAATTAATTGCTACTTAACCATACCTAATGAGGTTTCTCTCCAGCGTTACCCTAACTTGCATATGTGTGCTGAAAAAAATCTATTATTAAATCTAAGTTTAAAATGTTATTTTATATATTTCGTTGTGATTTTTAATCATTCATTTAAACTGAACTAAAAAAAATTAGTTTAAATAACCGATGTAAGAGTTAATTTTTCTGAAAACTTGAGATTTATCTATTATGATATAAACTCTTTTGCAAAAAAACGGGCACTTGCACCACGGGAAAATCACTTTTTTCTTCTACCTTAGAAGTTAATTAAATGAAATTTAATTGTCCGCCCTCTGTATACGTATCGTATAAATTAATACGCGTGCTTTATTCATTCTGGTAAACTTCTAATATTTAAATTCTCGTGGCACAATGTTCGTTTCCATACTCCTATACTAAACGGCTCGACCAATTGTTATAAAATGTTTTATGCATATTCAGTAAGTCTGAGAATCGGCTACTATCTATCTTTCAAACCCCTAAGTAATAAGTCCACCCCAATTTTTATTTTTATTTTATCGAAATTCTTTTTTGTTTTTATTTTTTTATGATACATATACAGCATACAAAAATACATACAACCCCTAAATTTCACCCCTCTACGTTTTATTATTGTATATAGTTATTTTTATTGAACTAAAAAATGTTTCCTGGAAATAATATACGTGGCCAAACAAACCTTTGCCGTGTCAGCTAGTTTTTTATAAATGTTTGATGAAATCTTTGAATACAAGTTTTAAATGATGTACGGCCAAACAATAAGTAGTGGTCAGCAATAAAACGATAGAGAGAGAAGATTTAATAGTAATAAATAATGATTAAAATGTAAAAACCTGATAACGAGTGAGACCTCCTCTTGCCCAAATGATAGCTTGAATCCTGGGCGTGCTTTCCACGATGTTAATGCAATCACTCTTTTTATCTCCCTGATGTTTTGTGGAGCAGGTTGCACTGATCTCACTCTTCTCTTTGAGAACGTTCCAGAAATGCTCAATTGGATTGAGTTCAGGACTTGCCACTCTAAACGACAGATCTCAACTTCTTGTAGATGTATGCTGCCACGTCACCAGAACGGTGCGGGCCAGAATTGTCGTACAAAAAATTTAATCTTCTTCGAGAGCAGTAACTGCGGTGCAGTATATACCTATGTGCATTTAATGGAACAATTTCTACGAAAAGCGATCGCTCCGTTGAATGATTTCGGCCCAAAAGATAACGGAACCTCCGTTCGGATAGCGTTCCCGTGGTCACACAGCACCCGCTGGCGTCGGTCCTCTCCATACAAAGAGATTCTAGATTCTCCAGAAAACAACTACTTTATTCCAGTCCTCCATAGTACATGAAGCACAGTTTCGAGCAAACTAAAGTCGGAAAACACAGTGTTCACAGTAATTTAGGGCCCCGGGCCGGATGAAAACTCCTTATATTGGCAGCCAAAAGCTCCTTCTACTCCTCTTACTTCTTCAAAGATCTTCTTCTGGTCCACACTTGTCGCTTTCCGATTCTACAACGCCTGCCTCACCGCAAAGCGGTCATCTCTTGGTTCTGTGCATCGTCTTCTCAGGCCGGGTCTTCTTTTGGCCGAACCAGTCTCTTGATACCGTTGCTAAGTCCTCTTAACAGATGAGCGACTCACAATTAGCCGCCGAGACTCGTAAGTTTGCAAACAACCTTCAAGTAGGGTATTTAATTTAAAAAGAAAGATTGAATTATTTGATTTCCAGAAAATAACCAAAAAGTTTAAAAATTTTAGTAATCAGCTCAAATAATCGTTTTAGCAATTCGCGATTCAGTAAAACAATTTTACAATAATCCACAATCAACATTATTATTTTTATTGATAGTTTCAAAATTTGAATTTGGAACGTAAATATTACTCCCAGGACACTTCAAGTGACGTGCTAATACGTCGTCAAATTGGTTTTATTAATTAATAATAATAAATAATAACAAAAGGGTTGTGACAGAATTCATACATTGCTAGTCTCCACTCTAGGGAGGCCCTGTGTTGTTGTAATATTCAAAGAAAAAAAATTTAAAGAGCCAGATGTATTGCAAAATATTTACCTTATTAATCAGTCACCGTTAGTCCGATAAGATGGGAGACAGAAAATGATCTGAATCTATTATTTAAAACTTATTCAAACGACTAATATAACAAACGGTTAATATTATGCACGCGACAGCCCCTATGGAGTCTTTGTTTCAATGAACTTGGGTCAGTGACCTCCCAGTTTGGAGTTACATAATTGCGCCAAGTTCAAAAATTGATGTTTGAACGCCGTGGATTAGCCCTGCACGTGATGACTCGTGCAGTGAACAAAGTTAGTCTGGGAGCATACAGGAATTGGAAATAGTAGTAGGGGAGTGCGGGAGGCGGGCCGCAGTCGTGTCGGCGCGACGCCGCGAGCCACCCGCTCCGCACTCCGTCACGACATGGATTGGGGCATACGCCGTAAGTTACCCGATGCCGGCTGCCCACCGTCCACCGGCCGGCGCTAGTCCAAAGTTGGCGCCGACTGCCCGGCAGCGGCACCTTCGGCGATGCGATCGAGGCAGATAGTAAACAAACGCATGTGTCCAGTAGTCGTACCGGTGTGTCCGCAGAGGCCGGTTCTCGTGGCTGTGCTGGTATTTTTAACTTGTTTTGCGGTTCGATGCCCGTCGGTTCTGTGAATCGATCTGCATAATGACGTCCTTGGAAGTTATGTTTCGCGAATGTTGACAGTGTTTTTAGTTTCATAGGATTGCAAAATAATATCGCTATTACCACACAGTAAGTCACAAACTTGTTTTAAACTTACCGTGCATTACTTCGTTCACTTTCGACAGAACTTTCTAAGCGCGTTGTGGTTGCGAATTAAAGGTCAAATATTTTGATGTTCCCCGTTAAACTTGCTCTATTTCGCCCGATAAGAGTTTTAAGAGTTGATCGTAAAAGTTACGGCTCGACACATCAAGATGTTTTACTCAAATATGTTAAGAATATTGAGATTCAATTGTTTTTACTTTTAAAGCATTTATTTTGAATGGCTCTGAAATAGTTTAAACTTGAACCTAAGTGCCTAATGTCTATTTAGTCTCCTTGTAAATGTCAAGGAGAGCGGGCACTCGGCCCAATAACCTGATAAAAGCTCTCGGGAAGACAAATAGCCTGTAATGTGTCGGGCTCGGCGACAAGCACAGCAATTGTATTAAGTCCGCGCCCCTTCGATGCCTGCATACCTATCACCTAAGTCTATTTGTTTTACAGCCTTTATTTGAGCTGGATGATGATTAGGTTTCGATTTTAAATGCTCTATCTTAAAACGAGCCTTTTTCGGTTCTTTACAAAAGCCTTGTGAGATGAAACATTCTATAGCACTCTTTGTTTATTGAAGTGGTTTGAATTGGAGCATTTATAGATTAATGAGTTACTAACTATTACGTATAATTAAGTCATCCGATTTTTGTAAGTCAATCTCAAAACGAGATAGTTCGTTAAAATGATTCAATTTCCTATACTTTAATTTAAGATATCCATATTATAATAAATAAATAAATGCAAAACTACTGAGCTGACAATTCGTCTAAGAAACTGATCATTTTTACTATACGGTAGTACTACCTTTAACAATTTATGCAAACAGCCATGAAATTTTACATCTTAGAGTTGGTGTATGTTTAAAATGGGGAATTTAGCAAGATTTACACATACGTACTTTATTTAGCAAAAGTTTGATATTTTAATACGTACACGAGTAGGTACGTAATCTCGAGGTCAATCAGGTTGTCTGTTGCTGGTTTTATATTGGTTTTTAAATATCTATCTGAAAGTCCTAATTAACACAACTTTAATTAAAAATGCGCAAATTTATGAAAATGTGACGTGTGTTTGACCGCGTTCCAATTGCAGCATTCCCGGAGGGCTAAGCTATTGTTTCTGGGTCGCCACACATTGTTTATTTTGCTTACAAACCGAACGACGACACAAAAAAGCAAACTAAATAAATGTCATAGTGTTCATAGGTTGTAATAAAGTTACAAGGAGTTCAATCGACGTAACAGTAGATATAATGATAAGCTAATAAAAATTATGAATTTATGCATTATTATTAGACTTTCGGCTTCATAAAAAATATTAACAGATTTAAGTTAATATACTGTATTGGTATTTTTCATAATAAATAATTAAAAGCGACACGTTCTACGAAGATCCATAGTGGATCTACATGCGTCTTTTTAAAGTTGACTTTCGCGACAATTATGAGTATTGGCTAACTCTAACCGCTTTTGACAATTTCTTTTGGCAATTCTATTCGATCCCTGTTTGAAATCATGAATACCTAGTAATAGTTTTGTTTGCGACAAAGGGTTCCTAATAATGACTTTCCGCCTGTAATTGGGATTCAGAACACGTTTTACCTTTAGAAAGGTCAGTGTTGCTCTGACTGTGCGATATCTTGAGAACAAACTTTCCATTTCACTAAGACTTTTATGACATGTTTTAGATTCAGCTTATTTGTTTTAGCTTTAAAGGAAATATATATAATACAGGGCCATTTACGTCTTACGTTTGTTTACTATTGAAATATTAAAATTAACCTCGAAATAAATATGCATCAGGCCCCAACAAAGATTGCAATGGCGAGAGGGCTTTAAACTTGATTTTTAAATTCGTTTAATTCGAGCTTTAAAATATATAATTCGATTTATAATAATAATAATAATAATTTTTATTAATTAGACAAATACAGTCCATTGATTGATTAGTGAGTTAGTAACAATAGTTTCTTAAGATCTAAGTTAGAGAATTAGTAAAAATAAGGAAAAAGTAGTTAAATAAAAACTATCAGGTACAAAGCCCTGCGGAGATGTCGGAGCAGTGACGTAAATAGGGGCACTCCATTCTTTCAACTATCATCCGTAAGATGTTGCTGCAGCTGCCCCGCACCCGGCACACCAAAGAATTTTCGCTTTCGCATAGTGGCGAAAAAGCAATCCACCCGCGCCTCTGCAAACATTCTTGATGCACTGCAGAAGCGAGGCAGCCCCAGCAACACCCTAAATGCGTTATTATACTGCACCCGAAGCGAGTTGTATGTTTGTCGAGTAAAACTGGCCCATAGGCTGCACGTGTAGAAGTTAGTGCAATATGCTCTGAATAATGTGACTTTTACGTCATGAGAACAACGTACAAACCTACGAGCCAGCATATTTGCTCTCACCGACAACGCTCTTCGTTCTCTCTCTATATCGCCATTATCTTTGAGGTCGGGGAATGCTTTAGAAAGCTTTTTAAAAAATATGAAATGAATTTTTATCGAATCCAAAATATGTATCAGCGCCAAATTATTTTTTAATTTTAAATTAATAAATCGGCCTTTTAACGTAAAATTAATGAGTAATACAGGAATATTACCGTAATAGGCAAGTTTCGAAATAAGGGCGGTTCTCACAAATAGGCATAACGTTGTGCTGTACGCCGTTACCATACAATGGCTACATGCCGCTCCTACTAAGTTATTTATTGCTTTGATCCACGTCGAAGAATTGCACGATGACATACCAAATGCGTGTGCAGTGTGCGTTTGTCTCCATTTGAGGTTTATATATTCAGAAAATATATGTGAATAACAAAGTTTAGTTGATGACGGTATGTCAAGATATCAACGCATTTACGTTGTATTTGCAAATTGTTGCTGTGCTTTAAAATACTTTGAAAAGATATAAGTGTTCGTCATAATCTAATGACACACTTCCATTTGTTTTCCTTTGAATACGGATCTATATATCGTAAAACGAATTCCGTCACGAAACATGTTTGTGTAATAAACCATTTGGTTTGTACCGAACTGTATTCAGCAGATTAATGATTCTGAAGGGCAAACGGGCGCGGCTGACCAAAAACCCTTTCGAGATTAAAATTCATTTACAATACATACGACCACACGTGGACACTCACACACTGCCGCACTAGTCAATTATTCACACACGTTTTCATAGCAATTATATTCTGGGTTCGCTTGACTGATAAAACCTGGTTTGAAGCACACCATCAGCTGCGTCAGTCACGAACTCGCTACTCACGTTACTCTTTGCTCTATCTATCTAATGCTCTATACCGCCTCGCTGACTCACTCTCCTTCTGAAGCATTTTGAAGATTTGCGTGTATTATCGTGGCCTACGTGACCTTTAATAATACTAAAAGTATCAGAATTATTAATTTTATTCAAGGAACTTTCAATGTCAGCTTGAATACCAATTACTTAGGCGAAGCAATTTCATAAAATATGCTACAACTTTTCGTGGTATGCAGATTATTGTTATATCGTGTTTCAGACTTAATGTGTACTGTGGAATATTATTTGGTTAAATTCTACTTAAACTAATGTTTTTTTTATAAGGATTATTACACATTAAACCGATGTATGTTTACATAAAGCTTATATACCTTTATATCAAACATCAAAAGAATAGTCGCAGATCCGCTCTATATATATATATATATATATTTTATACTGTAGACATCGGACAGTACATATCGGTCGGACACGCGATTTTAATGGCGTTGACACTAGAGATGCTGGGCGGGGGTAGACTCCACTAACGGATTCTAACTTCTATATTTAAAATACTACTCGTAATTGGTAGCAGTCATGGGAATTGTGACCGGGTGTAAATCCTCTTTTTTGTGCACTAGAGATGCTGGGCGGGGGTAGACTCCACTAACGGATTCTAACTTCTATATTTAAAATACTACTCGTAATTGGTAGCAGTCATGGGAATTGTGACCGGGTGTAAATCCTCTTTTTTGTTCTCTACTACGACACAAATTTCTGATTTACCGACCGACAAAAATAACGCACGGCCTCTAATGTTGCGATCGATTCAGTGTATTCGTTGTCCAGGCTCCATAATGTTCCACGTCCGGCGTCGGCCGTCGGAGGGTCAACCGCGGCGGCGCAAGAAGAAGCCGAGCGGCGGCGCGGGCGCACGTCCCGGAACAGACCCCATGCTCATTGAGGTCACGCCGGACGGCACCGCCCTCGAGAATGGACGCCGGCTGCGAGTCGCCGATGTCGTCGAGGTACGTAACTCAAGTCGCAGAACCTACCTTCATAAATTAAATTCCGAATGCGTTTAAGAATGACGGTAATAAAACATTGAAGGTATCGTTGTTCCTTGGGGTCATGAAACAAGCAGCTCAGTCTACTTGTAATACCGCATCTTAGATACCGATACTTATGTCTCACGTACGTTTCCATTAGGTTAATTGATTCACAACTCCCTTAAGCCGTCTTCACATTTAGCGAGCGGCTAGCGTTCAATATTGAGCAAAATAATTTGCTCAACTTTTATCAATAGTTCTGTTAAATGAAAATATTCTTCATTTACGTTGCGAACCGAGCCAGCACGCTTACCTATAAAAGCAAACCGGGTTCCCTTGTTCATAGGTACCGAACCTAATATTTCGTCATTGTATGTTTCATTTCAGAAGATATTTATGGGACGCCTTCTGCGCGCTGAAATTAAAAAAAAAAGATATATTTTTAAGCTAGAGCTTTCTTTGGTTTACCCACGGCTTGAATTGTTAATTAAAACATAAAACTAGGTCGTTGAAAACTAAATTTAAGTCGAACATTCGCCGCTAGTGTATATAGCCTGTAGGATACAGTAGCAATTGCATTTGAGCTAATTTTTCTGAATATCGCTAAGCTCCAGCAAACCGAATTGACCCCCAAACTCATCAGACGGCGGGAGACGGCGCGCTAATTGACGTCAATATTGTTATTTATTTACGCGAGTTGGACGTGGATTACACATTTTATTTGAAACGGGCGTTTAGTTCTCTTATACTATGTCTCCTGACGTTCTTAACGTCCATTTCAGGTGGGATCGGTGAACGGTACGGCGCTGCAGTTGTACGGGCCTTCCATTCAGCCGCGGCACTGCGTGCTGGCTCCGGCCGACGGCGGACACTCCGTCACTCCGCTGCACGCCGACGCACAGGTCTACGTCAACGGACGGCGGGTCACGCACACTACTAGACTACAGGTACCCGAACACGATAAGCGAAGGATATCGTGATCGTGTTTACCATTCTGAATCGAAATTAAAATAAAATAAAACAAACTTATAATTTTTATTAATTGAAGCACGGCTGCCTACTCAAATTCGGCCGAGTGTCGACCTTCCGTTTCGTCGACCCGGCGCAAGAAAACCTCATCAACCGCAACCTTTCCCAGTCGCAACATTACGGCTCGGGCTCCATCTACGACAGGTACGCGACCTATTAGACAATTTAGAAGTCAGTGTTAGCACTAATAGATTTCACCGACCTTTTGTCTCGCAACCCCCACCCACCCACGACATCGCACCCATGAACTCACTCTCTTCGAGTCGCTCGTTATGTTCGTCACGTACCGTCTTTGTTTTGCATGTTTGTCACTGGCTCACGACATACGCTTGTTTACGAACGTTAGGTCTACCGCGGACAGCGGAGCCATGTCTCCCTCGTCGCTGGCCTCGCAACCCCGGGACCTCGACGACGACGACGAGGACCACCCCGACGACGCGCCGTACGACGACGAAGACAACGACAATAACAACACGCTCAAGCCGGAACGGTCGCCCCGCTCGACCGATTCCAAGCACGAGTACGGCCGCGACGAGCGCGAGCACTCGAGTCGCACCTCGCACCGTCTCAGCTACAAGGACAACTACGAGACCACTTTCGACCTGGACGGCAACGTCGAGACCAAGAGCATCTGTAGCGCCAAGAGCGGGGGCTCCGGACACGAAAATAGGTATTTTCGCCTCGCGTCGGCTTACCGTTGTCGCTTCTTAGTTCGTTAATGTCCTCGGGCCGATCTAAAGGTAAGGTCCCGCCCGCCCTTTGTCACTTTTATAACTTCCGTGATACGACCTAATTTTAATCTCCACGCAATCGTACTCCTCGGTAAAGTCGCTAATGATGAATCAGAAGCGGCGGCGGCGCGTGGCGAGCGGGACAGGAGGCGATCCTCCCGGCCGTCCTGGAGTTTCCCGAGGCGGGGCAGGCCCAGTTCCTGTCCGCCGTCATAGCGAGGCTCGACCCCCACGCCCCGGCCTTCAAGCTGGCCCCGGTCTACACGCTCTACCTGTGTGCCAGGTGAGGGCGGAACACCTTTTCGCGTCACTTCAGCTCTCTAGTCGACGTGCTCTGACGCGCCAATGACGCCCTTTGCAGATACCGCGCGTCCACCCACTACCGGCCGGAGCTGACGCCGACGGAACGAGCGCACAAGCTCACCGCCTTCTTGCACCACGTCGCCACCCTCATCCACGCCACCGTTCAGGTGAGCGAAGTGACTTGATCAAATTTGTCGATCAAATCTTGGGTCGGTGGCTGAACTACGATGGCACACGTTTCTCTGAACAGGAGCGGCGCGCGGACTCCGCGGCGCAGGCCTTCTGGATGGCGAACGCCAGCGAGCTGCTGCATTTCCTCAAGTGCGACCGGCACATCTGCTCCTTCTCCACGCAGGCGCAGGAGTCGCTCCCCATCACGGTGCAGAACGCGTTCAGGTACGCGCGCGTCTGACGCCTCGCCTCCGCGTCGCCCTCGCGCCGACTGATATCGTGGATCCCTTCTCAGCAACCTGGTGTCGTGCTTCGCCGAGGAACTTCGCGGCGCGGTGTGGGCGCTGGCCCGCGGCGGAGGAGACGACACGGAGGCCACGGCGCCCGTGCTGCAGGCGCTGGCCGCCGCCATGGTGCTGCTGCGGCGCTGCCGGGTGAACGCCGCGCTCACCATTCAGCTGTTCTCGCACCTCTTCCACTTCATCAACGCCATCGCCTTCAACAAGGTTCGCTCTCGCCTTTTAATCCGTTCTCGAGTGAAGCCGAGACGCGTCTGACGCTCGACTCGTTTCCGACAGCTGGTCTCGGAGCCGAACAACATCACGCCTCGATGGGGCGCCTCCTTGTCCGCTCGCCTGGCGCTGCTCGCGGCCTGGGCCGAGAGACAGGGGCTGGAGCTGGCGGCCGACTGCCACTTGGCGAGGACTCATCGAGCGGGTGAGTTTTTCAGACTTCCGAGCCGGACTCGGCGTTCGCTTCGCTCCACCCACAAACCAATCATACGTATGTGCGTTCCGCAGCACGTCTGATCCAGGGCGAGTACCGGACGGCGGAGGAAGTGAGAGCCGCACTGGCGGCCTGCTTCAAGCTCAACTCGGTGCAAGTGCGGGCTCTGCTCTCGCCGCTGCTTCCTCCCGATCTCGTGGAGGCCGCCGTGGCGCACGCCCGGGCCCTCGCGGACGAGCTGTACCGGGCCGACGGAAGAGAGGTGATCTCGAGAGCCCGCGAGCCGAACCGGTCTCCGTCTCTGACCCGGCCCTCACGATTCCTCTCTCTGCGAGCAGATCGAGCTGGAGGAGAGCGAGTGGCTGGGCACGGCGCTGCTGATCCCCGGAGACGGCTTCAGCGCGGAGGTGGTGCGCGGCGTGCCGCCCGGCCTGGCCGAGTTCGTGGCGCCGCTGCAGAGGGGCGGGCTGTGTCGTCTGGCGCCGCAGCCGCACGCCGTCGGGCTCTGGACCGTCTACATGCACGCGCACGCCGCTCCGCCCCGGCGCCCGCCCGACCCCACGCCGCAGCTCATCCAGCTTCACAAGAACTCCAACGGCATGGGGCTCAGCATCGTCGCCGCCAAGGTGCGCCTTTCGGCCGTGCGTCGCAACGCGTTGGACGACCGTTTGGAACGTTTCGCTCACGATGTCGATCCGCAGGGCGCCGGACAGAGCAAGCTGGGCATCTACGTCAAGTCCGTGGTGGCGGGAGGAGCTGCGGCGGCCGACGGACGCCTGGCGGCCGGAGACCAGCTGCTGTCGGTGGACGGTCACTCGCTCGTTGGCATCTCGCAGGAAAACGTACGACGAAAGTTTATCTACCGCTCCGTTCCGTACCTCCGTGACGTCCCTCTGACGATTAGCCTTCGCTTCCGCAGGCGGCCGAGTACTTAGTGAGGACGGGCCCGATAGTGACCCTGGAGGTAGCCAAGCAGGGCGCCGTGCTGCACGGCCTCGCGACTCTATTGCACCAGCCGGCCTACGCGCAGCAACGTCCGGGTGAGTCTTCCTCTGCGCGTCCTCGCTCTATTCCAAGACGGCCGTTCATTTCTTACTTTATCTCGTGCTCTAGATGACGACGTACCGTACGAGGACCGCGTGCGCCGAAACTCGGGCACGTTCACCAACCCTCACCCGGCCTTGCTGAAGCCGACGTCGCCTCTCTCGGAACTGGCCACCGCAGGCAAAGAGCTACGACGATATTTTGTTTATTTTTTTGCGATTTCGTTTCAGTTTATTCTTAATTATCGCTCTTCGGAAGCGACACGTTTTGTGGACTTTCGTTTTCTTTTTTTCGGCTTCGTCAGTTTTTAGACCGTTTCGTTAGACCTCGAAGCAACTAATTGAGAAGAATTTATGATTTCAGGATACGGCCGTCGTCTCGATCGCGATAGATGTCATCTTCTCAGAAACGCATCTTCCGAATCTAGCACGACGGATGACAGTGAAGACGTATTATCACGTTATCGCGGTTTCATACCTAGGCTCGTCGTGACGTCAGATAGAGAAAATAACGAGTCGCAAGACGATTTGACCCCGGATACGTCCGGCCGTTCCGCGGAAGCGAATGGCGATCTCGCCGCGCGCCGACGAGTCCCGGTGTTCACTTTTACATGCGACGACGACGACGACCCCTCTCCGGGAGACACTCACGTCCCGTACGAACCTCCGCCTCCCGTCCCGCCCCCTGTCCCGCCCCCCGCTCTCTACTGCGAACGTCGCGGTGACGACGGGGAGCGCGTCCGTCTTCCGCCCCGAATGAAACCCATTAGTACAAAACTCCTGCTAGACATGTGCAAGGCTCGCGTCGAAGAAGAACGCTACGCGCGGAGATGTACGACCGTCGGCGACTGCGCGAGTGCGTGTGATTGTTGCCGCACGCCGCAACCGGAGGGGCCCCGGATACCTTACATCGACGAACCCGACTGCGAGCCGGTCATCTTCGAGAAGGACGGGGCGAACGAGAAAATACCCACCCCAAAAATACGTAGAATACTCCCGTCGCTATCCCTCGACGGGTCGGAGGAGAAGAGACCGGCGACCGCCGACGCCACCTGTCAGACTCCGCCCTCGCCGTCCGAAATGGGAACCGAGCCTGTCGTCTCGGCGAACACAGAACGACGCAGATTGAAATTGAAATTTAGTGATGAATTCAAAAATTTACAAGACGTTCACTGCCGGTTGAGGAGAACCATTTTCAATATGACCAAATCGTTGACGAGTAAATCTGATGAAACCGAATATACTTCGACCGCGTCGACGAAAGAAAACTGCAGTACAAAAAGAAATAATTTTCTTCAAAAGACGTGTAATAAAGTCGAGAGGAAACCTGACGATACGGGTTTGGCGCGTGCTGAAAAAAAATCTTGGAAATCGCCCGACGAATACCGTCCCGCATTCGGCAAAGTCAAAGCTTTAACTAAACGTTTCAACGAGATAAACCTCACGTACTGCGTGAAAAACTACAAAAGGAATTGGCAATCCAGTCCCGACCTGACCATTGCTCGCCTCGAGAGTTCGCCCGAGCACAGACTGAGCTTACCGGTCAGCGCTAGCTTGGCCGACATGCAAAATCACATCCGTTACGAGCGGAGCGCGACCGACACGAGTCGAGGCGAAAGTAAACTGTCCGAAAAAGAAGTAAGGAGCATTCTGATACAGCTCGAAGACTGGTCGAAATTCGGGTCTCGCGGCAGCGAGGACACCCTCGCCCAGGGCAATGAATTCGAATTGCCAAATTTGCCTTCCGAAGATCACACGGAAACAAACGCCTCGATTAACGGGAGTCTTGTGTTCGGTGAAATTGACAAAAAACCAAGAATTATAACGCTCGATAATATACAGTTGAAATCGACGAAGTCCGGAGTCAGTACCCCGATCAAATTAAGCGAAGATTACTGTATAACGGACAGTACAGAAAACTGGGACGAATCGCGCGCACCTAGAATCGTGGACGCGGTGCGTCGAGCGCGCTCGTCGTCTTCGGACGTGTCGACGCGTCGGCTGTCCGAGCGGACGGACCGGGACACGGCCCTCGCGACCGGCCGCTCCGAGCTGAGCGCCAGCGACGGGTGTCTCAGCTGTCCCACGTCCTCGCTTCTTTCGACCGACTCCAGCTCGCGTAAGACCTCCTCCCACAGCGCATGAGATAGGTGTGTTGCTGTCCGCACCGTTAAGCAATCTTATATAGACATTTAATTGGTTTCGAATGCGTTCCACACTTTTGTTTTTTATTATTTAGGAACTAGATCGGTTTACATTTTAAGTTTCGCACTGGCTTAGTGTACCGTATGTTTGTTGTGTCTTTTTGGGAAATCGTCATAATTTAACCCCGAGTTACGGTTTCGCCCTACACTTCGCCCTTTAATACGGCACACTCGACGTCGACGAGTCCACAGAGTATTTACTCTTGCACGAGAACAGACTTGTACACTTTTTGTTATTGTTTCTTTTATTTATTTTCGTAGCTACATCGTTTGCATTGCCCGCTATTAGATGTTATAAATATGTTAATTATTTAATTTAAGATCGATCTAACGTCGCAATATTACTAAAATGCGCCTTAAAAGTCCCGCCTACTCGGTTCGTAATAACCCTCGGGATGCGGCAGGTGGCGCCGGTGGCGGTGTTGCGGGGGGTCGGCGCGCGTCGGAGCGCGACCTGCCCTCGCGCCTAGCGGCCGAGCCCGTCAAACCCAGCAAGAGCACGCCGGCGCTGCATCAGCCTCCCGGCCCGCCGCCGCCGCAGAGTCCGCCGACTCCGCTGAGTCCCGGCGTCCGGGCGACGGCGAGCAAGTCCCGTAGCAGCCACAACCTGTCCTCGCCGCCCGTCGACTCCTTCTACCAAAACCTCGCCTCCGTCCACGACAGACGAGACAGGTATTCTTCTGCAATCTCGGATTCATTTCGAACGTTCGACGCCGTATATTAATTTTCATCCGTCCGTTTCAGTAGGTGGTCTTCCCTTCGCTCGTCCGGCGGAGGCAGGCCCCAGTCGGCTCACTTCGACGAGCATCACGCGGATCTCGACCGACATCAGGTAGACGAGGCGTCTCCGACCGTTCCATATGCTCATTTTTATTTTATAAACTCTGATTAAGGGTGGGGCATAATGTTTTACTTTTTTTCATGCTAAAGTAATAGTTATATTTCATATAAGATGAAGGCTGCACTCGGGGTTTATTTTAAGTTAAAATTGTGAAACGACGGCCACCGGGCCGTTCTTTGCGGTGGGTACGCTGACAAATATCGAAATATTCCAGGTGAACCAGGCGAACGCGCGAGCGGCGAAGTTGGCAGAAATGTCCGAAGAGGTGACGAGACGACAGCAACTTCAATATCAGCACATGCAGCAACACTTGCAACAACAGCAGCAGCATTCTCAACAACAGCAGCAGCATTCTCAACAACAGATGTTCCACAAGCCGGCGACGCCGCAGATGTACGCGCCCGCGGCGTACGACGCCTCTTCGCAGCCGACGAGCCAGCCCGGCCCTCAACCCGCGTCGCACAACGTTCCGAGCCCCGGCCCGCAGAGTCGGCAAGGCTCGATGCACGGCTTGCACAACATTCAGGGCTCACAAGCGTTCAATTCCCAAAACCAGCAGCCCACCCCGCAGCTTTACAGTCCGTACGGGCAGCCGCAGCGGTGAGTCCGCCTCGAGGGATCTTTTTTTTGGAAAATTTACATTACGCATTCACGCGCGATCGTCTCCAGGTACGAGTGGGTCCAGGCGGGGCCGCCGTCGCCCCAGCGGGCGCAGCCCCCGGTGGCGCCCAAGCCGCCGGGCCCCCGGAGGCCGGAGCTCGAACCCGGCGAGCTCGGCCAGCTCTCGCACGGCACTCCCGCCCGCGTCCGTCCCGACGAAGGCGAACTCGACGCCGGCCGCGAGACCGTCGGTCATATTAATCGTGCGGCGGTCACGGAGCAGCACGCGGCGAGCGCCCAGGAGTCGGCGTCGGCTTACGCGACGCACAACCCGTGGCAGCGGGAGGAGCGCGAGCGCCAGGCCGAGGCCAGGCGGGCGGCCGCCCGCGCCCGCAGGGACCACACCGTCGCGCAGCTGTTGGCGCTGGGCGCGGCGCGCACCGCGGCGCAGAGCCAGCAGCTGCGAGCTCTGCAGCTCGAGAGGGACTTCGAGCGCCGCGCGACGCAACACCAGACGGTACGGGGTCCTCTATTCGATAGACGATTAGTACTCGCAGACCACTCGAGAACAGAGAGACGGTCGTCGTCTACGTGCTACGCGAGGGGCCGAAAGCATCAGAGCTGTCGGAATAAGAGTAGATAAGAGAAGATGATTTTGACTCGACGTGTGTGTGCGTATACTATCGAGTGGTAGGCCAAGGTGCTTTTCGTTGCCTTTCTTTCAATGGAACACAATATAAATAGTTTTGGTATTAATGGTTAAAAGGTTATTCATTCTGGAGGGTCCAAAATAGACTAGGCACGTATCGTCTGCATACTGTGTAATCCGGCCGAATAAGACTAAATCGTGGATGTTATTTACGTAGATGAGAAACAATCGAGGTTCCGAGCAAAAACCTTGTGGCATTCCACAGGTGGCAGGCAAAGGCGAACTTAATCTAAAAAGAGAATTTGTTATGATTTCGACACAAGTGAACTTAGCGATAATAGTTACGAAACTATATTACACCCCTTGAACCTACCATGAACTTTCTTAAAACGATCCAGTTGAGATGCTGATGAGTTTAGGAACCTAAAGTCAATAGCATTTTTTCGTACCTTGACCGCCTATAAGCTGAAACGTATTAGCATCGCAAGACCGAATGAAAAAACGATAAATTTGTTTGAGGTTTCTATGTACGTTTTGAAATTTAACTGTCAAACTTGTTTCGACAGATGTTTCTATAAAAATAAATGAAATATAAAATTATTTTAAATAATTAATATCAATCACAATAAGCTATTATGTCTTAATATATATATTTATTTTATATAAAACTATTCTTTTGATATATTTTAAACGGAAAGTTACTTATTATTTTTAAACGTTTCCTTCAAATTTTGATAGAAGTTTTCAATATTTTGGTGTTTACAAAATTTCGGTTTTATAAATATAGTTTTACAAATTGTTTAACTTATAAAATAATATGATGGGGTAAGTATTGTTCACAAATTTGTTTATTAAAAATAAATACCTATATCGAAGTGAATTCCTGATATAAAACTTTTTGCATACAATATTACAATCAACTTATTACTCGAAAATCATAATAAAAATTGATTCCTTCAAATTGTACAAATTCAGTTTATACGTTAACTAATTCATATACATAATATAAATAATCATATTTTCTTTACAGCTTAAACTCGCTGAATTGAGAGAATGAAATATATGAATATATGTTTATATCCAATTGGACATTGCCTGATTCAAGACAAGACAAGACATCTTTTTCTATCTTGATGGAGTCATCCTAACTAAATAAATACTGTTATTATAATACTTTCAAATGGCTTATTATTTACACATTATAAATTTGAAAAACAGACAAACAAAAACTCTTTTGTTCTGTGCGCGGTGTGAGAACTCGCATTGTTGTGATGGAGGATGATGCGGCGGTTGCAGTTCTCTTTACGGAGTTCAGAAACGACCTGTGGCAAACAAATGCTAGCATACCATTCTGCATTAACCGTGGCCACCATTTTTTTGCAACACTCCGTGAACGAACAATTTTCGTTGGCTTTAACTCATTTTCGAACACCCAAACTCGTGATTGGTTTTTTGTTTCCGGTTCGTACGCGTATATCCAGGATTCGTCACCTGATACGATGTTGTATACAGCATTTGAGGATCCTGCGTGAAATCTTTGGAAAGTTTTGACGCACCAAGTAACGCAAACCGCTTTTTTCTCTTCACAGAGCGAATGCGGTATCCAACGGGAAAACAAGTTTTTTACACCGAATTGTTGATGCAAGATTATTTGTATTTGACTCATGCCAATGTCTAAAGTTGCCTGAAGGTCGCGGTATGTCACATGTCGATCTTCCTCAATCAGCTTACGCACAGCATCAACGTTTTCTTGGGTGACTGCAGTTTTTGGACGACCTTGACGGGGATCATCACTGAGCTTGACACGTCCAGGTTGAAATTCAGCAAACCAGCGATAAATTGTGGTTTTGGATGGGGCTTCATCACCAAATGCAGAAATCATCCGGTCAACACACCGTTTTTGTGATAAACCACTTCGAAAGTCATAATTAATCATCTCTCTTGAATTTTCTCGAGTCAATTCCATTTTCTCAACGACTAAACAAGTTTGACAAAACTTTGTGAAAAGACCGAGAATCTTTTTTAAAAAAAAAATGGTAGTCGATTAAAAAAAAAGGAGTTTTCAATTAAAAAGATTTAAATATGACAGGAACAGTGGTACTATTTCATTCCCGATACTTTTAGTGCAGCCTATGTACGAAGTCAGTAGTGGCTTCTTGTTTTTCATCTCCGTCGATATTTTAATAATTTATTTATAATCACACTTTCTGAACTCAAAATATCCGATATATAAAAATAATATTTTTTTCCCTATATTAGCCATAGTAGATACATCTTATTATTTTAACTTTATTAACAAGTTTTAATAATATTGAATTATATAGGTTCTAAACTATTATTTGGACATTTCGATACAAAAAAGTTGAACAAAAAGTAACTTTTTTAGAATCGCTTATTCTGTCATAGTTGGAAGGCGCAACTGTCAAATTTCGGTTCAGCCGAGCGGTCATGGTACGAATTTTCATACAAATTGGACGAACGAAATCTGAGAACCGCTAAGGTCACGTGGGAACATAAACTGTCTCGTTTTTTCGATGTCATGGTACGAATTAGCGATGCATCTCAGTTGTAGGTTATCAATAGGCTCGCAATAAAAGCTCATGGTAGGCCCCCTTGTATTATTAAAAACGCAACGCACTCGCGTACAAAGTACACATGTCAGAAGTGAAACTTCTTTGGCAAAGCTAATTTTTAAGTCTTCATATTTATACAAATCTAAAACTTTAGATTTCCGAGACTTATACTAGACTTAGACTTAATTGTCATTAAAATATTAAAAGTGTCGAAAATTAACACAAATAATAAATTTAATTTTTTAAATTTATTTCTTCGATAATAAAAACACTTGGCATTTTAATTTACAATTCGTCATTTGAGATTTCAATAAATTATTTTGCATATAATATCGCAGGATGAAGGCGGAAACGGCGAAGGCAGCCCCGAAGACGAATCGCCACCCTCGGAGACCCCGGCCGAGCGGGATTCGAGGCTTCACGGCCAGCACCCGCAGCCTCCCGCGCCCAAGTCCATTCTGAAGAGCAACACGAGAGCGGAGACGGTCAACGGCTTCCAAACGCACGCGGTACGCACGAGCCTTCGCGCCTTCGCTTCGTCCCGACCGAATCCATCATTACAATTTCAATTCCAGAGCCCGAGCGAAGACAGCCGGATGAGCGAGCTGTCCTTGAACGTGTCCGGCATGTCGGTGTCCGCGGTGAGCGCGGCGTCCGTCGAGCCCGTCGCGCCCGTCGCGCCCGTCGCCCCGACGCCCCCCGAGCGCGGCTCGTCCTTCGCCGTGATGGCCACCAGGCGCCCGCTGTCGCCGCAGTACGTCGCTCCCCGTCCCCCGCTCCGGGTCGCGTCGAAAACGGCCGATTACAACCACGATCTCTCCGCAGGTCCCCGGCGGGCCCCGGTCGGGACAAGCGCGTGTCTTTCCACGAGCGAGCCTCGGAGCCGCCTCCGGCCCCGCCCGCCTCGTCGCCTCCCCCCTTGGACGTCCCCGCCGCACCCAGAGAGGACCCCGACGTGAGTCGTCATATTCGTAAACGACGAACATTTATCTTTAAATATTCCTAACGCTTCAATGTGCCGAACGTGAGAGTCCGAATGTCGCAGCGGTTCCTGGAGGAGGCCGAGAGCATGCTGGACGAGGTCGGAGGCGGAGCGGAGCACGCCTCGCCGTCGGCCGCGCACACGCCGGGTGTCATCGGCGCCCAGGAGGTGTACAGGTGAGGCCGTCGAGGCGCCGACGCGACGATCTCTTTCGATGTCTCTGACCGAGCGACTTCACCCGCGCAGAGACCCTCGGACGCGTCGCCTGGCGGAGCAGCGAGCGAGGGCGGCGCCGGCGCCGGTCCCGGAGCATCTGTCCTTCAAGGAGAAGATGAAGATGTTCGCTCTCGAGTCCGGCGAGGCCTCCACGCCCAAGGACAAGGTGGGTGCGGCCGCCGCCCGAGCCGAAGCCCCACGTCGTACGCAGCGATAACCGCCTCCCGTGTCCGCAGGTGAAGATCTCTCGGGCCCAGCGTGACATCGACGCGGTGCACTAGTGACCGCGTCCGCGCGGCGACGAGGGACGCCCTCGCGATTCCGGGCCGGTGAGTTCGACCTCCTATCGCGCGGAGACGCTAATTTATAAAAAAATGGCACGTTATGAAATTCTAAAAGGTTTATTTTCCAAATTAGTTGTGCCATCGTACTGTTAATAAATTGTTATCGTTCGACGAGAGTTTCGTTACGAGGACCGAAACGCGGTGCCTCATCTCTCGCTACGTCGCTTCGTCACATTCCAAAGAATGAAGTTCCGATGAGTAGAGACAGAGTTCGGCGTTTCCCGAAAGCAATAAAGCTGTGTACGAGCAGCCCTTGTACATAAGCAGAGATAGCCGTAGCATAACGTGGAGCACGTTTTGTGCCAAAAGTCCTTCTCTTGGATCCGGACGGCCGCTCACCGATATAAAGCTCCTTCTTTGTACGACGTGCGGCTGCGTCTGCGTCGATTTCTCGACAGATGGACGTTTCAATTCAATTGTTGAAATTTTTTATGTTATGCCACGTCGTTGAGCTTAAGATTTAATTATGTGTACGTTAAAGCGTACCCGTCCGAATCCAAAAGGCATAAATTAGGTCAAAATCGATGTATATAATATTTTCCTTACGAGTCACGACCAATATTTTGTAAATGTTCACGGCGAGTCTATAATATTTATATTATATAGAGTTTAGAGGCCTAGGCAAATGTATTTAGTCGTAAAGGGCTTCACGCGCCCAAAATTTCACCCAACGATAGTCAATTAGAAATGTTGTAAGGTTAATTTGTATGTTCTGTTCTGACACGTCGTGTGCTGATTCGGTTCGGACTGTTCTTTAAGAATTAGAAATTAAACAACACAAACTAATTATATTGTTATCGATAATGCGTATTGTACTACGTTTACTTAAATTTTAATAAATTACCGATACGAATGTTTTATTTTATTTAGTACTCCTTAAAATAAGAAAAATTTGCTGAAAAGGTCAGAAAAGGAAAGTTATCCGTAAGGGTGGTGGTGGTATCCTTGCGGAACGGAATAACTTCATCTCGGTGGAACACTTAAACAACCTTCGGTTATCATAAATCTTCAATCACACTGACTATCACGCTATTGGATTCACGGAGACCTGGTTGCTGGATGCTGGAATTGGTAACGCACAACTGTTTGATTGATGCACTGTCTATCGCAAAGACCGTTAAGAGGCGGCGGAGTCCCCACGTTGGGCGCCATGTTATGGGTTTTTAACATAAATAAAACAAATTAGCATATATTAGGATATTTATAAACTAGCAAAATACAATTACTAAAATATATTAAACTAAATCTTATAATTAACTAAAAATACATAAATCTGGGCGCCAGGAGGATTTTGGTTTATCCTGCCAAACCTAATATATGTGGTAACGTTTATCACATAAACTAATATTATAGTCAATTTGTTATTCAATAAATGAACATCTAATTTGAGGGCATTTCCCAAAGCTAAAACAAATAAAACATTTCAGATTGTTTCACAACCAAAATAAAACTAAACCATACAATAATAATTAAATGAAACATACCCCTCAAGTTATAACCGAAATTCAAAATCCAATATTTGATATTACACAAGACACAATTTATATCTCCAACACGTCCAATCTACGGCAATCACCGTCCGTGTCTGTCGTTTTTGTTTCTACCCTCATCCTATAACAATAGAAATTATCAAAAGCATTGAAAGTAAACGTTTGTCGCACCTAGAATCTGACTATAAAATCTTCCGGATGGCTTTGACCTTTCAAAGGAATGATCGACGTCAAAGTCTAGGCTTTAATGTGTTATACCGTCCTGCTCCAGTTGACAAAAAAGAAGCCCATTGCTATTTTAATAAAGTGAGTGATGCAATTACCTCCCTTAATGATGTCTTAATCTCCGTTTCTTATGTTGGTGACCCTAGGCCCCCTTCAACGATAGCAATAATTCACTTAGTGTTAGTGTTACTTTAATGGATTTAGGTCTCTTGTCTATCTTAATCAATACGATTATGTTCTTATATAGAAAGGATTTAGTTCTTTCTAATGTTGTTTTAACTCTTCGTGAAGCAGATAATCACCTAATTATTAAATATAAACCCTCCGCTAGAAATATGTATGGATATGTATACTTCATGTAGGTCTGTAAAAACACTTCATCTACTTAATTAAGCTTTCACCTGCTTACCATTAATTGGATAGAAGCGCTAAATGTAAGTGGTGTCTTCGATGGCATGGTTGCAGCGTTTTATAACGAGGTTGATGGTATTACTACAGCTCATGTGCCTCGTACGATAATCTTAAAATCAAATTACCCGCCGTGGTTTGTTAAGCTAATATTGAAATTTAAATTGAATTACATGACATTTTTTGGAATTTCATTAAACACAAAAGATTCATATACAATACCACAGGACGATATCGAGGCAGTGAAAAAGCTACACAAATTTGCGAATTTAATAATTTATTTTCTAAAATAATACTTCTGTTCAGTTTTCAGTAGTGATGATAATATTGTAATAAATGAATTTCAAAATGTAATGCCTTATCATTATGCAATGTTAGATTTACTGAAAAAGAAATAGAAAATAAAATTAAGACTAGATATTTTTAAAAGGCTGTGGTCCTAGACGACATTCCCCCTATTTTTATACGTTTAAACTTTTTTTTTAAATAAATTACTAGAACTAGGCAAGTTAGTCCTACAATGTGGAATCTAGCTAGAATCATACCGATGTTTAAAAGGATGAGACAAATGTTGGTACTAACTACAGACCAATTTCTATTTTAATCACACTATGATTTTTGAATTGCTTCTATGCCCAATACTCAAATAACATTGTAAGTGTGTATTTTTAGGTATAACGCTAGATAAATTTTGTAGTTGGAAAGCACATATTGAAAAATTACAGACCAAAATATACAGCTTAGTTTTTGTGTTAAAACGACTAAGGGAAACTGTTACCCATGATACGGTATTAGCTGCTTATCATGCATATGTTTCATCTATAATTAGATATGGAATTATAGTTTGGGGAAATTCAGTCGAAGTAAATAGGGTATTTAAGGCTCAAAAGAAATATTAGAGTAATTTGTGGAGCAAACTGTCTTGATAGTTGCGTACCTTTATTTAAGAAACTCAAAATTTTATCTCTTCCCTGTATTTATATTTTAGAAATGTCCTTATTCGTGCACAGAAACATAGAGGAGAGTAACTAAATGTGGGCTAGTGCTTTAATATGGGCTAATAACTCTCGAAAACCTACAATCGAAAGACGCATCAAACGACGATCGTCTATCGCATTCATTCGCTCTAACATCGGACTCGAAGCTTTTTTTTTTTATGTAATAGGAGGCAAACGGGCAGGAGGCTCACCTGATGTTAAGTGACACCGCCGCCCATGGACACTCACAATGCCAGAAGGCTCGCAAGTGCGTTGCCGGCCTTTCAAGAATTGGTACGCTCTTTTCTTGAAGGACCCTAAGTCGAATTGGTTCGGAAATACTTCTGTCGGCAGCTGGTTCCACATAGTGGTGGTGCGCGGCAAAAACTGCCTTAGAAAACGCTCTGTTGTGGAACGACGGACGTCGAGGTGATACGGATGGTATTTTGTATTTTGCCTTGACGTCCGTTGATGAAACTCAGCTGCAGGTATTAGACCGAACAACTCCTCTGAACACTCTCCATGGTAAATGCGGTAGAAGATGCAGAGAGATCCCACATCTCTACGCAACGCCAAGGGATCAAGCCGCACGGAAAGTGACTGGTCGTCGACGATTCGAACCGCTCTTCGTTGAATACGGTCAAGTGGAAGGAGCTGGTACTGGGGAGCTCCCGCCCAGAGGTGAGAGCAGTACTCCATATGGGGCCGAATTTGCGCTTTATATAGTTGCAAGCGGTGGCCCGGAGTGAAGTACCGTCTCGCCTTGCTGAGCACACCAAGCTTTTTGGAGGCTAATTTAGCCTTTCCTTCCAGATGACCGCGAAACTGAACGTTATTCGATATGTCAACGCCCAGTATTCCGATGCTAGCTGAGGCTTTAAGGAGAGTGTCTTCAAAGAGGGGAGTAGCGACAAAGGGAGTTTTTTTTGCGGAAAACGCGCATACTTGTGTCTTCTTGGGGTTAAATTGGACTAGATTTAGTCTACCCCAGTCCGAGACTCCACGTAGAAGAGTTTCGACTTCAGACACAAGTTTGTTCCGGTACTCACATACTTGTGTTGCTGGTGTCGAAAACTTTATGCGGTATTAATCAATGTGTTATTTTATTCATGAAAATTAGGTCTAAATGGATCGTCGATGGATGATCTACAAATGCTTGTTAATAAAGTTCATGAAACTAGCAAAAGAGACGGTCTGACTATTAATGCAGTAAAGACGAAGGTGATGGTCATTTCTCGAAACGACACTTTAGGTCCTAATTTATCCGTAGCTGGTAGAACGTTGGAACGGGTGCGGAAATACAAGTATTTGGGAACTAGGTACAAACGAGTGGAATCCTGATCAGGAAACTAGGTCTCGAATCGAAATTGCCCGAGGATCTTTCAACAAAATGAAGAAAGTTTTGTGCTGCCGTCACTTGACCATTAAACTCCGAGTCCGACTTCTCCTTTGTTACATATGGCCAATTGTTCTATACGGCTGTGAAGCTTGGACAATTAAAGAAGATACCCGCCGGCGCTTAGAAACATTTGAGATGCGGTGCTATCGTCGCATGCTTCGAATAAGCTGAATCCAGAAGGTCTCTAACGAGAAGGTTCTGAAACGAGTTGGAATGTCGAAAAATCTTTTGCAGAACATTAAACAACGGAAAGTTGCGTACCTGGGCCACGTGTTGCGCCATGACCGCTACAACCTCCTTCAATTAATTATAATGGGTATTGCAACTGCGGAAGCGTTGCTGCATCTGCCACAGGACAAGACACGCTTCAAGATACTGACGGCCAACCTCCAGTAATGGAGAGGCACTAAAAGAAGAAAGAAGAAGAAGATCTAAATA